CTTTTTTTCGTCTAGTGTGCCTTGGCTTCCATTGTAACAAAGCCCCCCCACCACAACCGACGGCATACAACAGACACCAGCCCATATGCAAAACCGGTAGTTTTAGTGTGCATCTAGTGTCCCTTGCATCGTAACAACGCCCCACCACCAGCACACAACAGACACTAGCCTACATGCTATAACTCAGGGATGGCCAAACTCCGGCCCTCCAGCTGTGGTGAAACTATAAATCCCATGAAACATCTCTCCCCGGGAGTCATGTCTGTGGCTGTGAGAATCTTGCAAAGCCTCATGGGATTCGTAGTTCCTCCACAGCTGGAGGGCCGCAGTTTGGTCATCCCTGCTATAACTGATTGTGTCTTAAATTTTCATGACACCCATCCGTCCTCTCTAAGATCCAAGTAGCAAGAAGTATTATGAACAGTACTCAACTGTGTTGTTACAAGTGCACCAATACGTCCACCCACCACTGGCACACAACAGACACTAGCCTGTGTGCCTCACCACTACCAGCACCCTAAAACACTCATGTCCCCCACCTTCAGCACACAAGAAACACTAATCCACACACTAAAATCACTTTAGCGTGCAACTAGTGTGAAAGGACCATTAACATTTTCAGGACAAGCTTTAGGAGTCCACCGCTCCTCCCAGTACTCAAAAAAGGATCATGGCTAGTACTCAACTGTGTTGTTGGAATTGCAGCAATACGTCTACTCCCCACCACTGGCACACAACAGACTCCAGCTTGTATACTAAAACTGAACATTTAACTGTGTGACTAGTGTGAACTATTGTGTCCCTATCATGAAAAGGACTCAACTGAGTTGCTGTAGTGCACAAAAACATCTACCCCCCACCACCGGCACACAATAGAGACTAGCTTGATTGCTAAAACTGACCATTTTCATGTATGACTAGTGTGAACCATTGTGTCCCTATCATGAAAAGGACTCAACTGAGATGTTGTAGTGCACCAATACGTCTACCACACACCACCGGCACGCAACAGACCCTAGCTCACATGCTAAAACTGATCATAGTGTGAACTATTGTGTCCTTATCATGGGCAGTACTCAACTGTGTAGTTGCAAGTGCAGAAATATGTCCACCTTCGCCGTAGCACGCAACTTATTGAAAAATCTCTGTACACCTCGGCAGATCTCAACCTCTTGAGGGCGTAAACATGTTTTATACAGTCATTGTTTAGCGGCGTTCCTCCTTAGCATTCTAGGCATCAAAAGGAAACCTTGGTGTCAGAGTCACAACAATCACAGACCCGTCACACTACAAGCTGCCACCAGGGAGCCTGAAGTGCGAGTTTTTCCTGCTGACAGCAACAGGAATTTAACTGAGGACATTCCTCCAATAACAGACAGGTGCTCGGAGAGACCTTTGGATTTCCTGGTATCACATCAGAATGATCAGATGGATAACTCCGTCCTGCCTCTGCCTTGCTTAATTCCTATTCCTCTCTCCAATCTAATTATCACAATTATCCCGGGATTTTCCCTGTAATGGATTTACACCCGGGGGAGTGCCAGCTAACATGTGCAACCTCCAGAGGACTAGATTGTCTGTATGTGTAGGAGAGATCAAGTTGTTACAGTTAGTTGTATCGTAGGCATCTACTTCCTGATACATACTAAAGCTATGAGCTCCTATCCTAACAGGTCGGTTTCTGGTATCAGCCTCTTGCAGTCCCTGTACAGCGGAGCTCAGGCTGGGGGAAAGAGAAGCAGTACGTGGAGCGCATCAGTGCAAAGAGCATGCCGACAGGAGAAGAGAGCAGGGTGACAGAGAAATGAGCTAATCAGTCTACTGCTTCTTCTTTGATTGCCCAGGCACGGGGGGAAAGAGAGACTGCAAATCTATATACAGAACTGCAGCAGAGAAAAACCAGGTCTCCTGGCCTGCCGAAGAGGGCGGTGCTGTGTGGTTTAGCAGTGTGAGTCGCAGAACTGGATAAACAGAAATGCTAATTTGTTGTTCCCTTTAAGGACCATTCACACATGTGCGTCAAAATGCATGGTTTTGTGGGTATTCCATCAACACACAGCACTTGTGTGAAGCCATTTTTTGTCGATGGCACCCCAACATACCATACAAGAGAGGCCAACACATCACAACACACATACCATACATTTTGTTGTGCTGCTGCAGGGGAAAAAAAAGGCTCTGTCCATTATTTGAGGTGCGCAATAAGCCCGTACAAAAGTACATTCTGGCATATCTCCTCCCTGCTAGGGGCCACAGGTGCTGCGTACCTGTAGAAGTCAATGGCTGTACATGGGTATATGCAGGCGCTTGCACACAGGCATCTATTCATATGGACATGGACGCAGGTTTTCTGCATACAGGGATTTACATCCATATGTGGCTGTACCAACACATACCCACTTACAGCCATTGACCCTTGTAGGGGCGTGTGGCTCCCTGGCTGGGGGGGGGAAAACCCCCAGAATTCACATTGTACGGGCCCGCCTTCCGTGTGCATTGTGCCATTTAGTAGCAGGTTACCCAAGCACGCTGGAGCAAGGTGGGTGCTAACAGAATCAATCAGCATTCCTTGGAAACAGGAGGTAGCCCCTCTATGTTTGTGTCCTCCCCCTTGACAGGAGAAAGGCCATTCTAACTCACAGGGGAAATTCCAGAGCACACATCCCCTTCTCTGCAAGCAAACCCCCCCCCACACCTTACCCTCCCCATAGACGCAGCCCTAATTCTAGCCCCCAACCATACACACCCTCCACCAGACTTGATACACGACCCCTCCCAAACCCAGACGGCTGCTTCTACACACCCCAAGCAATCACAGCTCCAGATGCCGTCATGCAAGTGCAAAATAATTATTAATAATAAACAGTAAGGTGATAATTAAATCCTCGGGTGTAGAAGGTTTCATTCATAAGACGGCCGTGTCAATTCAACGTCATGAAACGCATCGCCCAGAGAACCTGTACCCAGGCAATCATGCCAGTGCTCACCTCTTATTATGAGAATGAAAGTTGGTCAAGTGATGGTTTCATTTTCAAGTCTTACCTGAGCAAACTGAAGAGAGATGCTGATTGGTTGCCATGGGCAACTGCTCCAGATTCTGTTTGCTCCAGTTGTGATAAATCCCCCCCACGGACTCTTTGCGCTGGGAAAATGTTGTGCATTCTGCGTTTTAGATGCGCTTGGTCACTTCCAAGTCAGATTAGGTCATTTCAAACGCAGAGCATCATTATGGCGTTAACAAGCTCCTATGCTGCCCGTAGACATAGACATTTGATCATTAGTTCTCATTTTCGATTGTCCCATTTTTAAAAGAAATCCCAAAATTTGACAGAACAGCCCATTATTTTTGATCGGTCGCTGGCCAGTCGAGTGAGAGAATCCCCGAATTAATGCAGCGGAAATGTTGGATGCTACGCACAGCTTGGTTGCATTCATGAAAAAGAGATCATCTCCAACGCAAGAATGTTTCATGGTGCCAACAAGCGCTTATGCTGACCATAGATGTAGGAATTAGGTTATTAGGACCCACTTGAGAAACCAATGAAGTGCCCAAAGTGGGCGATGGGTGGCATTCACCTGTACAAAGTCTAATAACACAGCAATGCTCATTCAGAGCTGCCAACTGCCTCATGATTCCTAGTGTCAGTCCACTCATTTCAAGACATGTGCCTCCCTGGAGGCATCCCTGGCATTTAATATCAATGACAAAACAAAAATCCTTCCTTTCCTGTAAACGTTATTATTAGTACTCCTCGGGCTGTTTATTTTTTGTAACAAAGTTTAAAATACAAAATAAAGTGTTTCAATGTAACAAACACACTGAGGTCTCAGCTTCCAAAAGCCATAACTAACTTAGGTATCTCAACTAAAAGGCTGTGTCCATGGAATTTGTAGAACCTACTCCAGCGTTATCAACATTTTTAATCGTGAGGAACACTTGATGGAATTTTCAGGTTCTCAGGGAACCCCAGCCCTTCCGCTGGTGGTCGGCGCGAAAGTGAGCCCGTACATTGGTGGTCAGTGTAAAAGTGACCCCTTACACTACTGGATGGTATAGAAGCGACCCCTTACAATGGTGGTCAGGGTAGAAGCAACCCCTTACAATGGTGGTTAGTATAAAAGCAACCCCTTATATTGGTGGTCAGTATAGTAGTAACCCCTTACATTGGTGATCAGTATAGAAGCAACCCCTTATATTGGTAGTATAGAAGTGACCTCTTACATTGGTGGTCAGTATAGAAGTAACCCCTTACATTGGTAGTATAGAAGTGACCTCTTACATTGGTGGTCAGTATAGAAGCGACCCCTTACATTGGTGGTCAGTATAGAAGCGACCCCTTACATTGGTGGTCAGTATAGAAGCGACCCCTTACATTGGTGGTCAGTATAGAAGCGACCCCTTACATTGGTGGTCAGTATAGAAGCGACCCCTTACATTGGTGGTCACTATAGAAGCGACCCCTTACATTGGTGGTCACTATAGAAGCGACCCCTTACATTGGTGGTCAGTATAGAAGCAGCCCCTTATATTGTTGGTCAGTATAGAAGCAGCCCCTTATATTGGTGGTCAGTATAGAAGCAACCCCTTATATTGTTGGTCAGTATAGAAGCAGCCCCTTATATTGGTGGTCAGTATAGAAGCAACCCCTTACATTGGTGATCAGTATACTTGGGAGGTCCATCCACCATTGCTCTCTCAAGTAACCCCTAACAACCTCAGGAGGTACCCTGCAATTCCCAGGTACCTTGGTTGAGAAGCACTGATCTAAAGTCTCGGACAGCAGTGACCAATCATCAATAAGGGTGATTGATCATGGATCAGAAGCCACAGATGGGACACGGTGCACTCTTTAATATCAGCAGTCAATTTGCATTCATCAGGCACATAACTTGGAACGTGAGTAGAGATCAGAAATCAAGGCAAAGGTGACAAGCAGAGCAGATGCAGGTACAGGGAGCTGAGTGCTGGAGAGTGACTTCCAGCCATGGAGAGCACTTACCTGTCAGTAGGTGAGGGGTAAGTCCTGACTGTAGCCTGACCCCGGGACTAGAAGGGGAGACCGTGCCTTCTGCTCCCTGCTGCTCTCTCCGGGAGTTCGGATCTTCTGACGTTGCCTTTTACCCCACCCCTGTCTGAAAATTCTACTAGAGGAAGGGCAGGCTACTCCTCTTCCTCTGAGCTAGTCCACTCCCTTCACTTGTCCGAACTCCCCCTCCTCTGTACAAGACTCCACAGTCTAGGCGAGCTGATAGACCAGACAGTGCGAGCTGTGCATGTGTTCTAGCGCAGGATCTATACCTGAGCTGTGCATGGGTGTTCTAGCAAAGGATCAATCCCTGAGCTGTGCATGGGTGTTCTAGCAAAGGATCAATCCCTGAGCTGTGCATGGGTGTTCTAGCAAAGGATCAATCCCTGAGCTGTGCATGGGTGTTCTAGCAAAGGATCAATCCCTGAGCTGTGCATGGGTGTTCTAGCAAAGGATCAATCCCTGAGCTGTGCATGGGTGTTCTAGCAAAGGATCAATCCCTGAGCTGTGCATGGGTGTTCTAGCAAAGGATCAATCCCTGAGCTGTGCATGGGTGTTCTAGCAAAGGATCAATCCCTGAGCTGTGCATGGGTGTTCTAGCAAAGGATCAATCCCTGAGCTGTGCATGGGTGTTCTAGCAAAGGATCAATCCCTGAGCTGTGCATGGGTGTTCTAGCAAAGGATCAATCCCTGAGCTGTGCATGGGTGTTCTAGCAAAGGATCAATCCCTGAGCTGTGCATGGGTGTTCTAGCAAAGGATCAATCCCTGAGCTGTGCATGGGTGTTCTAGCAAAGGATCAATCCCTGAGCTGTGCATGGGTGTTCTAGCAAAGGATCAATCCCTGAGCTGTGCATGGGTGTTCTAGCAAAGGATCAATCCCTGAGCTGTGCATGGGTGTTCTAGCAAAGGATCAATCCCTGAGCTGTGCATGGGTGTTCTAGCAAAGGATCAATCCCTGAGCTGTGCATGGGTGTTCTAGCAAAGGATCAATCCCTGAGCTGTGCATGGGTGTTCTAGCAAAGGATCAATCCCTGAGCTGTGCATGGGTGTTCTAGCAAAGGATCAATCCCTGAGCTGTGCATGGGTGTTCTAGCAAAGGATCAATCCCTGAGCTGTGCATGGGTGTTCTAGCAAAGGATCAATCCCTGAGCTGTGCATGGGTGTTCTAGCAAAGGATCAATCCCTGAGCTGTGCATGGGTGTTCTAGCAAAGGATCAATCCCTGAGCTGTGCATGGGTGTTCTAGCAAAGGATCAATCCCTGAGCTGTGCATGGGTGTTCTAGCAAAGGATCAATCCCTGAGCTGTGCATGGGTGTTCTAGCAAAGGATCAATCCCTGAGCTGTGCATGGGTGTTCTAGCAAAGGATCAATCCCTGAGCTGTGCATGGGTGTTCTAGCAAAGGATCAATCCCTGAGCTGTGCATGGGTGTTCTAGCAAAGGATCAATCCCTGAGCTGTGCATGGGTGTTCTAGCAAAGGATCAATCCCTGAGCTGTGCATGGGTGTTCTAGCAAAGGATCAATCCCTGAGCTGTGCATGGGTGTTCTAGCAAAGGATCAATCCCTGAGCTGTGCATGGGTGTTCTAGCAAAGGATCAATCCCTGAGCTGTGCATGGGTGTTCTAGCAAAGGATCAATCCCTGAGCTGTGCATGGGTGTTCTAGCAAAGGATCAATCCCTGAGCTGTGCATGGGTGTTCTAGCAAAGGATCAATCCCTGAGCTGTGCATGGGTGTTCTAGCAAAGGATCAATCCCTGAGCTGTGCATGGGTGTTCTAGCAAAGGATCAATCCCTGAGCTGTGCATGGGTGTTCTAGCAAAGGATCAATCCCTGAGCTGTGCATGGGTGTTCTAGCAAAGGATCAATCCCTGAGCTGTGCATGGGTGTTCTAGCAAAGGATCAATCCCTGAGCTGTGCATGGGTGTTCTAGCAAAGGATCAATCCCTGAGCTGTGCATGGGTGTTCTAGCAAAGGATCAATCCCTGAGCTGTGCATGGGTGTTCTAGCAAAGGATCAATCCCTGAGCTGTGCATGGGTGTTCTAGCAAAGGATCAATCCCTGAGCTGTGCATGGGTGTTCTAGCAAAGGATCAATCCCTGAGCTGTGCATGGGTGTTCTAGCAAAGGATCAATCCCTGAGCTGTGCATGGGTGTTCTAGCAAAGGATCAATCCCTGAGCTGTGCATGGGTGTTCTAGCAAAGGATCAATCCCTGAGCTGTGCATGGGTGTTCTAGCAAAGGATCAATCCCTGAGCTGTGCATGGGTGTTCTAGCAAAGGATCAATCCCTGAGCTGTGCATGGGTGTTCTAGCAAAGGATCAATCCCTGAGCTGTGCATGGGTGTTCTAGCAAAGGATCAATCCCTGAGCTGTGCATGGGTGTTCTAGCAAAGGATCAATCCCTGAGCTGTGCATGGGTGTTCTAGCAAAGGATCAATCCCTGAGCTGTGCATGGGTGTTCTAGCAAAGGATCAATCCCTGAGCTGTGCATGGGTGTTCTAGCAAAGGATCAATCCCTGAGCTGTGCATGGGTGTTCTAGCAAAGGATCAATCCCTGAGCTGTGCATGGGTGTTCTAGCAAAGGATCAATCCCTGAGCTGTGCATGGGTGTTCTAGCAAAGGATCAATCCCTGAGCTGTGCATGGGTGTTCTAGCAAAGGATCAATCCCTGAGCTGTGCATGGGTGTTCTAGCAAAGGATCAATCCCTGAGCTGTGCATGGGTGTTCTAGCAAAGGATCAATCCCTGAGCTGTGCATGGGTGTTCTAGCAAAGGATCAATCCCTGAGCTGTGCATGGGTGTTCTAGCAAAGGATCAATCCCTGAGCTGTGCATGGGTGTTCTAGCAAAGGATCAATCCCTGAGCTGTGCATGGGTGTTCTAGCAAAGGATCAATCCCTGAGCTGTGCATGGGTGTTCTAGCAAAGGATCAATCCCTGAGCTGTGCATGGGTGTTCTAGCAAAGGATCAATCCCTGAGCTGTGCATGGGTGTTCTAGCAAAGGATCAATCCCTGAGCTGTGCATGGGTGTTCTAGCAAAGGATCAATCCCTGAGCTGTGCATGGGTGTTCTAGCAAAGGATCAATCCCTGAGCTGTGCATGGGTGTTCTAGCAAAGGATCAATCCCTGAGCTGTGCATGGGTGTTCTAGCAAAGGATCAATCCCTGAGCTGTGCATGGGTGTTCTAGCAAAGGATCAATCCCTGAGCTGTGCATGGGTGTTCTAGCAAAGGATCAATCCCTGAGCTGTGCATGGGTGTTCTAGCAAAGGATCAATCCCTGAGCTGTGCATGGGTGTTCTAGCAAAGGATCAATCCCTGAGCTGTGCATGGGTGTTCTAGCAAAGGATCAATCCCTGAGCTGTGCATGGGTGTTCTAGCAAAGGATCAATCCCTGAGCTGTGCATGGGTGTTCTAGCAAAGGATCAATCCCTGAGCTGTGCATGGGTGTTCTAGCAAAGGATCAATCCCTGAGCTGTGCATGGGTGTTCTAGCAAAGGATCAATCCCTGAGCTGTGCATGGGTGTTCTAGCAAAGGATCAATCCCTGAGCTGTGCATGGGTGTTCTAGCAAAGGATCAATCCCTGAGCTGTGCATGGGTGTTCTAGCAAAGGATCAATCCCTGAGCTGTGCATGGGTGTTCTAGCAAAGGATCAATCCCTGAGCTGTGCATGGGTGTTCTAGCAAAGGATCAATCCCTGAGCTGTGCATGGGTGTTCTAGCAAAGGATCAATCCCTGAGCTGTGCATGGGTGTTCTAGCAAAGGATCAATCCCTGAGCTGTGCATGGGTGTTCTAGCAAAGGATCAATCCCTGAGCTGTGCATGGGTGTTCTAGCAAAGGATCAATCCCTGAGCTGTGCATGGGTGTTCTAGCAAAGGATCAATCCCTGAGCTGTGCATGGGTGTTCTAGCAAAGGATCAATCCCTGAGCTGTGCATGGGTGTTCTAGCAAAGGATCAATCCCTGAGCTGTGCATGGGTGTTCTAGCAAAGGATCAATCCCTGAGCTGTGCATGGGTGTTCTAGCAAAGGATCAATCCCTGAGCTGTGCATGGGTGTTCTAGCAAAGGATCAATCCCTGAGCTGTGCATGGGTGTTCTAGCAAAGGATCAATCCCTGAGCTGTGCATGGGTGTTCTAGCAAAGGATCAATCCCTGAGCTGTGCATGGGTGTTCTAGCAAAGGATCAATCCCTGAGCTGTGCATGGGTGTTCTAGCAAAGGATCAATCCCTGAGCTGTGCATGGGTGTTCTAGCAAAGGATCAATCCCTGAGCTGTGCATGGGTGTTCTAGCAAAGGATCAATCCCTGAGCTGTGCATGGGTGTTCTAGCAAAGGATCAATCCCTGAGCTGTGCATGGGTGTTCTAGCAAAGGATCAATCCCTGAGCTGTGCATGGGTGTTCTAGCAAAGGATCAATCCCTGAGCTGTGCATGGGTGTTCTAGCAAAGGATCAATCCCTGAGCTGTGCATGTGAGTTCTAGCGCAGGATCTATAACTGAGCTGTGCATGTGTGTTACCTGGATCGCAAGATCTTTAACTGAGCTGTGCATGTGTGTTCTAGCGCAGGATCTATAGCTGAGCTGTGCATGTGTGTTCTGAGGCAGGATCTATAACTGAGCTGTGCATGTGTGTTCTAGTGCAGGATCTATAGCTGAGCTGTGCATGTGTTTTCTAGTGCAGGATCCATACCTGAGCTGTGCATGTGTGTTACCTGGATCGCAGGATCTATAACTCAGCTGTGCATGTGTGTTCTAGTGGTGGATGAGCGCTACTACAACTTCTTTCTGTGTGTACATTTGGTATCTTCATCTGTTCTCCCCTCCTGTTTAGAGCAAGTTGATGTAGTATTAGGTGTTTATTGCTTGCCTGTATTGTAGATACTAGGCTGGGAAGATCATAGTCTTTTTACACTTCAAATGACCAACAAACATCCTCTGTAAATGCATTGAGAAGTAAAACTGCGTTGGATTAAAGGGTAAGTCCACTTTTGCAGAAAATGTGAAAACATAAAGTTACCCACTCCACCACTTCTCCCTGCCCCCACTGTTCATACTTTTATGTTGCAAGGGCTAATTCCTCCCCGCCAGCCGCTGTATGGTTCATACACCATA